TGTATTTCCTGAATTTGAATGTTGGCCTGCCTTACTAGGTTGGGGAAGTTCTCCTGGATGATATCCTGCAGAGTGTTTTCCAACTTGGTTCCATTGTCCCCGGCACACCAATCAGATGTAGATTTGGTCTTTTCACATAATCCCATATTTCTTGGTGGCTTTGTTCATTTCTTTTTACTCTACACTTCTCTTCTCGCTTCATTTCATTCATTTGATCTTCAATCACTGATACTCTTTCTTCCAGTTGATCGAGTCAGTTATTGAAGCTTCTGCATTTGTCACGTAGTTCTCGTGTTATGGTTTTCACCTCTATCAGTTCCTTGTTAAGGTCCTTCTCCTGCATTGATTATTCAGCTTATCCACTCATCCCCGTTCTTTTTTCAAGGGTTTTAAGTTTCTGCGCTGTTACAATAGTTCCTCCTTTAGCTCTGAGAGGTTGATTCGACCAAAGGCCTTCTTCTCTCCAACCTCGTCAAAGTCATTTCTGTCCACCATTTGTTCGGTGCCCGCGTAATGACGGTGTTCCTTCTGAGGGGGGAGATGTGCCTCTATTTTTTGAATTTCCAGCTTTTCTGCACTGCTTTTTCCCCATCTTGGTGGTTTTATCTGCCTTTGGTCTTTGATGATAGTGACATACTGATGGGGTTTTGGTGTTGGTGTCCTTTCTGTTTGTTAGTTTTCCTTCTAACAGTCAGGACCCTCAGCTGTAGGTCTGTTGGAGTTTGCTTGAGGTCCACTCCAGACCCTGTTTGCCTGGGTATCAGCAGCAGAGGCTGCAGAAAATAGAATATTGCTGAACAGTGAGTGTTGCTGTCTGATTCTTGCTCTGGAAGCTTCATCTCAGGGGTGTACCCCACTGTGTGAGGTGTGAGGTGTCCGTCTGCACCTAGTGGGGGATGTCTCCCAGTTAGGCTACTCAGGGGTCAGGGACCCACTTGAGCAGGCAGTCTGTCCGTTCTCAGATCTTAACCTCCGTGCTGGGAGATCCACTGCTCTCTTCAAAGCTGTCAGACAGGGGAATTTACCTCTGCTGAGGTTTCTGCTGCTTTTTGTGTAGCTATGCCCTGTCCCCAGAGGAGGAGTCTACAGAGGCAGGCTGGCCTCCTTGAGCTGTGGTGGGCTCCACCCAATTCGAGCTTCCCGGCAGTTTTATTTACCTACTTAAGCCTCAGCAATGGCAGACACCCCTCCCCCAGCCTTGCTGCCACCTTGCAGTTAGATCTCAGACTGCTGTGCTAGCAATGAGGGAGGCTCCGTGGGCGTGGGACCCTCTGGGCCAGGTGTAGGATATAATCTCCTGGTGTGCCGTTTGCTAAGACCCTTGGTAAAGCGCAGTATTAGGGTGGAGTTACCCAATTTTCTAGGTGTTGTGTGTCTCAATTTCCTTTGGCTAGGAAAAGGAATTCCCTTCCCCCTTGTGCTTCCCAGGTGAGGCAATGCCTCGCCCTGCTTTAGCTCTCGCTGGTCGGGCTGCACCCGCAGACCAGCACCAACTGTCCGACATGCCCCAGTGAGATGAACCCGGTACCTGAGTTGAAAATGCAGAAATCACCCGTCTTCTGTGTCGCTCATGCTGGGAGCTGGAGGCTGGAGCTGTTCCTATTCGGCCATCTTGGGCACACCCCCATGGGCTTTGTTTTCTGTGCTTTTCTGAGAAGACATCAGCCTTTCCTGAAGCTGTTCTCCCAACCTGGATTATACTTTCAGCTTCTAAGATTCTAACCTACTAAACACCACTTCCCATCCTCCAAGGCTCAACCCAAATGCTCCCTCTTCTATGGTACGGTGCCATTTTCTATCTCTCCTCACCCCACTTCCATGCAACCCAGTTGCTTAAACATCCAGGATGGTTTGTTTACACCTCGCTTATTGGCCTCATGTGAACTGCCTCATAGCGACACTGCTTCTGAGTGTGTCCGTTGCTTCCTTTAGATGATAAGCTTGGGGAGGCATGCATGTCTTATTCCTCTGTGCATTTTCCACAGTGTTTTTCACAGTGTTTTCAAGTAAATGCTTAGTCAACTAAAGAAGGTGAGCTGGTCCAAGAGTGATGGAATAGAGAGGATCAGTCTCATCAACCACCCCCTCACCACTACTGTCTCCACACCTTCTTAAAAAAAAAAAATGAAGTCTCGCTCTGTTGCCCAGGCTGGAGTGCAGTGGTGTGATCCCAACTGACTGCAACCTCTGCCTCCCTGGTTCAAGTGATCCTCCTGCCTCAGCCTCCTTAGTAGCTGGGATTACAGACGTGCACCACCACACCAGGTTAATTTTTGTATTTTTGGTAGAGATGGGGTTTCATCATGTTGGCCAGGCTGGTCTCGTACTCCTGACCCCAAGTGACCTGCCCCATCTCTTGGCCTCCCAAAGTGCTGGGATTACAAGCGTGAGCCACTATGACTGACCCCGTCTCCACACATTTTGATGTGCTTTCCCGCTTGTAGGGGGATGCAGCCCAGTGTGGTGGAAGGAGGACTCGGCAACAAGCAAGGCAGAGGTTCTGGGTTCCTCTCCTGCCCCTGCCAATGACCTGTTGAGGGATCTCAAGGAGACCATCTCACCTCACCTCAATGAGACTATCTCTAGATGGTCTCTCAAATTCCTGCTAGTTTTAATCTTCTTTGAGGCTTTTTCTCTCTGTATGAGGCCACTAGGGCTGCTATAACAAAGGACTTCCAGTTCTGGAGGCTGGAAGTCCAAGATCAAAGTGTTGGCAGGTTTGATTTCTCTTGAGTCCCTCTCATTGCCTCACAGGAGGCATCCGCTTTGCTGTGTCCTCACATGGCAGCAGGGCTCATCATCCTCAGTGAGTCCATGACACCTCAGATCATGATAAGCTTAGTAAATACCCCCATTGTCTTGTGGAAACATTACTGAGCCACACACCAGTCTTTCTTTACATGTATAGTTCAATAGTCTGAGGTTTGTCTTGAACACCTCAGTGGAACCAGGAAAAATGTCATGATCACAGTTGACAAAGCTTCTTCTTGCTTGCCCAGCTTCCCATGGTATTGTAAGAAATGCTGCCTTCACTGACCTACACCAAGCCTGTCCCCACCCTCCAAGAAGTCTGGTGTTTACTGGTCATGGCATGTCACTGACAGTACCTGGGGTCACCAAAAGATAGGCCAGAGTTAGCTTATCTCAGAACTCAGCTGCTGCTAATCTTATGAGAAGTCTCATCCCAGCACTTTGGGAGACCATGGATCATGAGGTCAGGAGATGAAGACCATCCTGGCTAACATGATGAAATCCCGTCTCTACTAAAAATACAAAAAAAATTAGCTGGGCGTGGTGGCAGGTGCCTGTAGTCCCAGCTACTCAGGAGGCTGAGACAGGAGAATGGTGTGAACCTGGGAGGCAGAGCTTGCAGTGAGCCGAGATCACACCACTGCACTCCAGCCTGGGTGACAGAGTGAGACTCCATCTCAAAAACAAAAGAAAAGAAAACAAAACAAAACAAAAACAAAAACAAGTCTCATTCAGAGTGGAACTTAAGTCTATGGCCATACCACCCTGAACATGCCTGATCTCACTCAGAGTAGAACTCACGTGGCCTATTTGCCTTTTCCTAAGTGAAAGCAGGTGTTATCAGGCATTGTTTTTCTACGAGGTTGGGGTGGGATTCATGATCAAAATTCCCGCTGCGGGCACAACAGAAAAAGGCCACTTATTTTGTTTTTCTTCAATCACTAACTGTTCAGATTGTCTAATTTTTTTAGATTAGGGACAAATAATATAAAAGTTAACTTAATTTAAGACAGGCTAAAACATAATTTTTTTTCATATTCCTTTCAGTTAAAAAATAAGGACAAGGAAGAGAAGATAGGATAGGAAGAGAGGAAGGTAAATATAGAAAAGGAGAGGAAAGAGATCAAAGGAAAAGAAGAAGGAAGGTCAGATAAGCAGTCAGAGAAGAAATGGAAAAGGAAGAAGACATACACAGGAAGAACAGAAAGATACAAGAAACAAGGCAGGGTCAAGAGAAGAACAAAATAACAGTGGCTGAAGGATAAAAAAACATTATGGGATTGAGAAGGAAGAGAGCAGACAAAGGATGATGAGAGAAAGCATCAATGGTCTTACCAGCCAACTCTTCACCTGAATGGGGAGTTCCCTGAAATTGTGAAGATGTGAGAGGAAGTAGCATTATGTGGTAAGGTTTGAGGATCTCAAGTCTTAGTGCCAAAAAAGCACCTCAGCAGAGCTGACTCTGGCCCAGCCCGCTGGATTCAGTGAGCAAGTTATCACCAGCCCCCTTTAACAGAGAGAGCAGATGAAGTTGAGGAAGCATAAGTGATTCGCTCACACTCACCTAGTTAAGTGTCTGACCACAGGATTAGGCCACGGGTAAAAGGAAAGATGCATTTCATGCTAACCAAGCAAATGAAATGATGCCCTCAGGAAGGACACTATCATTCCAAATTTCACCTCAAAAAGAACTTCTTGTGACCTCTTTCCCTGAATATTCTATTAGCATTTGTAGGGTTGCACACAAGAGAATTTCATCAAGTTTAGGGGATGCATTCCACTTCGCTCTTCAAAGCTTTTAATAGGATAACAGGATAACCAGAACACCACGGCAGGGCAATAAGCTTTCAGAACTGGATGGAGATAAGACCAAGGTCAGATCTGGCTCTTGGACCAGAAGTTTCCTGAACCCCACGCTATTGACTAAAGATTATTTCTTTATTTTTTTATTTTCCTATAAAGGAAGGTGATAAAATAGGAAAAAAATGCACTATACAGCAATTTATGGTTTACAAAATATTTTCACGTATTTCCTCTTAATATCACAATGACCTTCACATTATTTACTGAAACTCAGAAAAGTTAAATCATTAAGACCTTGAATTCATAGCTTCTGTGCTCTTCCAACAAAGAGAGTTTCCTTCAGGTGAGAGAAAACTTAAAATGTACTATGTCTCCCTCTCATAAATAGCATTGACTGCAAAGTGTTATTTGTATGTTATGTCTATTTAAAACTTCAACTTTTTTTTCACACTTTGCTTCCTTTTCCAGACACAATGACTTCCTGGATAGTGATTTTTTTCCTTCCAGTTAACAGTGCTTTGAATCCGATCCTCTATACTCTCACAACCAGCTTTTTTAAGGACAAGTTGAAACAGCTGCTGCACAAACATCGGAGGAAATCAATTTTCAAAATTAAAAGAAAAAGTTTATCTACATCCATTGTGTGGATAGATGACTCCTCTTCCCTGAAACTTGGGGTTTTGAACAAAATAACACTTGGAGACAGTATAATGAAACCAGTTTCCTAGCAATCATTTTGGATCACTGGACTTTCAGTGGACTACCTAAAACAGGGGACAGCTTTTGGAAGATGATATCTGCAATGCTTTTCATCTTTACCAACGGCAAGCCTTTCCGCACAGAGAGCACAGCAGAATAGCTCCTGTCACTGCATTCCAATGGCAGCTGTACTATCTACCAATCGTGCTGAGGACAGCACCAAAGGTTCCTCTCCTTACCCGAAATGCCTGAAAAGCACATGTGAATTTGTATATAATGGGTTGAGGTGCCGCTGATCTCTAGCTAACCATCACAACCCACCAACAAATGACCACAGGTTGGCACTGTGTGGTCTTTCACATCGGGTTGCACTGTCCATGAAATAGAAACACTCACAACATCTGATTCCAGCGTGGCCATAATAACAGAAGTCTAACATCTCTTTCCTTGCTTTTTCAATATCAAATAAAACCGTCAGCATCCTGCTGGATTGACAGCAAAGGATTTTCAAAACATTCATCTACCCGAAGTCCTGCTCTGTGAAGGCCGGTGGAGTAGGCACTTTGAAAACAGAACTTCAGATCAGGTTACCATGTCTAATCTATGACCAGAGAGTCACACTGACGAAGCCTAATAACATTCACCTTTTGGATTTTATTTAATGTCAGAAGAGATGAATTCTTAAGATATTTTTCTTAAGGTTGCCCAGGGCACAAAGCAAAATTGGACACCTTCACTGCCAAAAACTACACTTTAATATTCTTAAAGTATAATTTATTTAGAGCAGTATCCCTATTGCTGGCAAGTTCTGCTTTCATAAAATATGCAGATAAGAAGTGTTAAAGGGGATTCAAGAATTGTGGTTTTATTTGGGACTGTCTGCATACTCACATTGGTTTTGTTCTCATTGTTTTTAACAAAAAAGCAACTAAGTTTGGGGTTGTTTTTTGAAAACGAAACTGAAAAAAATTATATGTGAAAATGAGAGTCGGGTAAATAAAATTACGTTTTACATTTGTCCATCTATTATTTTAAACTTAACAAAGATCATAGATGGGGTTTATTGACTGTTAAGCATGTTTCTCCTGATAAAGAATATAGCCAGGAAACACAGTGTTTCAATTCACAAGACACATCCTACATTTTTCTTTCTCTTCCCCTTTTGCCACAGTATGAGGCAGTTACTTAATTTCTTCACTGTTCACTTCATTCTGAGTTCCTTTAATGAGACAAAATGTAAGCAGCTAAGACCAGCACAACACCTCCTATTACATATTAAATGAACACCCTTTATCCAGTAGCATCCGGAAGAGAAAGAAATGCAGAGTTCATGGGTCCCAGCCATTCTGGTAATTTACTTGTTCCTACTTACTATTGACTAAAATCATAACCTGAGTTCCTTCATTTTGATCAAGTAAGATATTTCTCATGTATAATAAACTATTTTCATTAGGATTCTAGAAATAATGTTCCCACTCATTGACTATGCTGCCCTTTCCCTTATGGCTTTAAATTTTTCTCCATCTTGTCTTTTCAGTATGATGAATTGCGTCCTCACTTGTTTTCCAGGTTTGCTGACATTTTATTAAATGTCTTTGCCAGTCCTTGATCATCTTATGATTTATTTCCTAATACATTTTCTAACACCAGGAGCATAAATAAGGGGTAGACCCTGAGCCTAGAGTATTGTAATTTTAGCACCAATATGTGTCTCCCGTTCTTGAAAAGCATCATCTGTGGTCCATGAACCAAGTCTCTGGGAACCATGGTTTGTAAGAGCCCACACTTTGCCGTCGGGCACTGAGTGGGCATGAGAAGAGGCACGTGACCAGATGCTTTGGGGAAGGTGGCAGCTGTATGGAAAAATGGAAGCTCTGCATAGGTCAGCAACATGCCAACAAATAGCATGCACTTCATATCTGATAGCTTGGTGATTTACAGTCTTAGTCTGTACTGCTTTACAACTAGAAAAGCATTAGAAATATGTATTATTTTAGCAAATAATAGTCTTTAATCTGGATTGAGTGAGAACTTTTGTGCTAGGCCAAGCCTGCTTTCTAAACATGGTATTTCTGTGTGGTTATGAAAATATCATGTGTGTTCATGAACCATTTTCCGTGACAATATAAACATCAATTAAATGTCACTGCAGAATTTAAGAGGCCATAGACGGTGCCATCTCTGAGTGGGAGAGAGTGTGGGCAAATCATCTGCTCCACATCCTAACTATGCATCTGTATATGACTGATGTCTTGAAGAGGATAAGAAAAAAATACCCTAAAAAGTCAATACGTAGCTTCAGACGACTGTATAGAAAAAGGGTATGTGTTTTCTTTGTATTAGACATCAGTAAGATTGTTTACATAGCTTTGTTTCATCCTAGAGGCTTTTGTTCATAGCTTTCATAGCTTTTTTTTTCATTCAATAGGCTATTTCAGAAATTGCAATCGACATAAACTATTCTATCAAAAGAGTTCATGTCAATTGCAGTTGCTGAAATGCCTCTCGATGGTCAGGAGCTTTAGGAGAAATTACATTTATTTGAGCTTTATGTACAGGTAGCACTATCACCTTTCTCCAACCCTACCCTATACCCCAGCTCTGCAGCTCCATTCAGCAGGTCTCCATTGCATCATGAAGCCACAAAAGCAGGTCCATCACCCCAAGGTTTATCTCTTAAGGATGACCCTGGTGCCAAATTGAGTTCATATTTGGTGATTTGCTACAGATTTGCTCATGCTACATTTTCAAGACTTTATCTCACCCAAGGCAAAGACTTACTTTACCATCCTCAAGTTAGTAAGCAATACAGAGCTCCCAAGAGTGCATGTGATAGAAAGGAGAAACCATAGTGTGTTGCCAATCATATCTAACCTATTATTTTATAAACGTCCCAAGGGGAGCTGACAGAAATCTTCCAAAATTAACCAGAAATACATGTAAGGCACATTTCTTTTTCACTGTTTTCAATGTAGCATACATGGGCATATACAAAGTTGCCTTAGACAACTTCACTCAAGAAACAAAATATTAAAGATAAGAATTTGTATTTCCTTATTCCCTTGCCCTGGTGAATAAAGAAAGGGAGAGCCACTACAAAGATCTCCATATTTATCTGCTTATATATTTGCCTGTTTATCTGTCAGTTTTCTGACATTCTGTTTATGCAAGATGTAAGATGCATATTTAGTAATGATCATTTTCATTTTTGAGCCAGGAAAATGAAATGAAATTAGACTATTCTCTTTCTAAAGGGCTTTTCAGTAGGAGACTTCAAAGTCCTTGAGAAATACTTCCTAAATCCCTATAAACTAATAAAACCTATTACTCAATGTATTTCATTAGAATTGTCTTCAGGATATTTCCCCACATCCCACATATGGGAGAAATGAATTACAAACGAAGAAATTGTGAACAACAAGGCCAAGTTACAAAACTGCACATCCAGAAATGTGAACCTTCTGCTGTCTGAAGCCCATGGTGACATTTCTTACCTCTAAGCTCTACGTAAACTCATAACTATTTTGAGTTATAAGCTCACAAGTGGCTTCAATATAAGAAGAAATTACTTCTAGACCACCTGAGAATCAATAATGCTTTTACTGGTTTCACAAATTTCTGAATTCATGATGCTAGGGTGTTTGATTCAGCAATGATTTTTAATGGAAACCATACCCTTTCCTGCTATAGGCAACACACATTTAAGGTAAGGAAATAGAGGTCAAAAGTCACGGGGCTGGAGCTGTAGGTTTAGTTCAACCATCAACTGCTTACATGACCTCAGACAAATATCTTTATGTCTCTTCACTTATCTGTAATTGAGTTTCCTTAAGATCAAATCACATAAACAGATGTCTGGTCCCCTGTCTCTCAAAATCTGTTTTGTGGATAAAACCACATGTTGAAGGTCCAAGTGGTAAGCATCTAAAAATTTACATCAAGTGCAAAGATCATTCCGTTCTCAATTCCCCTGGGATATTACACATTGTTCACGAAGAGTCAATGCAAAGGGCACCAATGTTCAGAAATCCAGTCCTTTGAGGGGAGGCTTACAGGACCCCATTCTGCTGTGAAAAGAAAGCTGAAGCAAACCGCAGACAACGAAGCTTTTCTAAACCACGGCAGCTTGCCAAAGAACAACAGTAAGTACCACATAAAAATTAGGTTACCTATTGCTGGCAAAATTTAGGAATGCAGAGATCAGGAAGATTAACATGCAATTGTTTTACCACAGATCACAGACTGGTCTCTTCACATAAGTGTAGGTCTACTACTGCCTACATTATTCGCTAAACCAGATGTAAATGCACAGGAATGTCTAGTATGTATGAGTGGGTATATCCTGGGAAAAGTGTTGTAGGATAAAGAGATAACTGTTTAATTTCCCCACAGAACCAGGATAGAACATGTGGTTCTTAACCAAGGTTGATGCCTACCTCAAGTCTTGCACCATCAGCAACACACTCTTTCCTGTGTATCATCAACTTCTCTTCCTCCCTACCCGCTCTTTCCCCTCAGCTCTCAATGCTCAAATATCTCACACCTAAAAAGACATTCCTGCCACCCGACACCCTCTTATAGCTTCTGTCTTGTTCTCAAATGCTCTTTACAGCTAAACATTTTGAAATAATTATAAGCTCTTTGTCATCAACATCTTACCTCACTTTGACTTCTCAACCAACTGAATGTGGCTTCCACACTCACCACACCACCACACCACCACACCACCACACCACATTAAAGATTAATGTCTGCCCTGCTGGGTTTCAGACTTGTGTGGGAGCCTGTTGTCCTCCTTAAGGTCACCAGGACGAGAATCCAACGAGCATTTTCCTTTCTTCAGCTACTTCACCTCCCTGGAGAATTAGTCACTTGATGTCCATTTTCTCAATCTCTAAACTCCTCTCTTGGAATGAAGGACACCATTCATTTCTGTTCTGAACCACTTCCCTGGCTCTTCCTTCTCACATCTTTATGGACTTCCCTCTTTCTCCTCTTGGCCCTTAAATTTATGTAGAAATTTCTGGAGTTTTACTCCGGGCTCCCTGATCTTTGCCCTCCATACAGATCTCCCTGACTTCAACCTATCTAAGGCTGTCATAGGTAAGTTCATTTGTAAAAAACTCTGTTTTAAAAACATAAATACAACTAGAGTGAGCTTATTTTGACTTTTCTTACTAAATCTTGACACTCACTTTTTAATCTGATCCACAAATTACACAATAAGTTTTGCTGAGGCAGGCGTGCAGTAGCTAGCGCCTGTAATCCCAGCACTTTGGAAGGCCAAGGTGGATGGATCGCATGAGCCCAGGAGTTCGAGACCACCCTAGGCAACATGGTGAAACCCTACCTCTACAAAAAAAATACAAAAAAAAAAAAAAAATTAGACAGTATGGTGCTCACCCCCCATAGTCCCAGCTACCCAGGAGGCTGAGGTGGAAGGATCACCTGAGCCCAGGCGGTCGAGGCTGCAGTGAGCCATGATGGTACCACTGTACTCCAGCCTGAGTGACAAAGTGAAACCCTGGTCCAAAAGTATTTATGGCTGGGCGTGGTGGTTCACATCTGCAATCCCAGCACTTTGGGAGGCCAAGGCAGTTGGATCACCGGAGGTCAGGAGTTGGTCAACATGGTGAAACCTCATCTCTACTGAAAATACAAAAATTAGGCCTGGTGGCAGGCACCTGTAATCCCAGATACTCAGGAGGCTGAGGCAAGAGAATCACTTGAACCTGGGAGGCAGAGGTTGTAGTGAGCCGAGATCATGCCATTGCACTCCAGCCTGGACAACAAGAGTGAAACTTTATCTCAAAAAAAAAAAAAAATTATATATACGTATATAATAATGTTGTTGAAATTTCTATCCTCCCTGATGAGAATAGGCTATTCTCACAAATGCATCTAAAAGTGATAGATTTTTATATATTTAACAAATGGGTTCAAGACCCACCTAAATTTGGGAGGGGGGATTTTTATTAAACAGGACAGAAAATTCCAAAAGGTTAAAATAA